AAATATGTTTACCTTGTTGAGGAATGCTTTGAACTTTGTGAAGATTACTGGATCCATAAGTTCCCGTAATACCATTTTTGCCATTATGAATCCAAGACATCTAATTTAATATATTATAAGATTAGAATGATCATCTCCCTTATCATAAACATACATAATTTCCTTCTTCCTTTAGGCTACTACTTTTGTAAATTACATGTTTTGCAAGAGTAACCCTAACAATTTTGTTCAATTCAATTCAACACAGCACATATTTCTTTGTTGACTGCATACCTCATATCAAATGCAATCATCATTTGTTGTCTATCCATGTTGTTTTCAAAAAAGTCAGCAGCATTCCCCAATATTCCTACCTGTTATAAAAAGTCAAAGAGCTATAAGAAAGGAAAAATATAAATCTTGCATCCTATGTAAGTGTTTGGTTTGATGATGGTTGTTAATTGAAATGGATGCAATTCAATTTGTTCGATTCCATTCTTCCTTTTCTAACAAAAGACGAAAATACCCTCTCATTTTTTCTAACACCTCAAAATAACATACTGCAAACCAAGCACTCCCTATTGTCTGTTTGGTATCATGAAATAGAATCACAAAGGTCCTTAGAATGAGCCATTATTATACCATTATTATGTTTGGTTGGATTGAAGGAATTTAACCGGAATCCTGAGTAAAACTAAAATCGATAAATATAAATTTATAAATTAAACTTTACTCAAATGAACACTAAATACATTACATATAAGCGTGTTTTTATGTTTGTTTGAAAATTGAAATATACCATGTGCATTTCCGATAGTAAAAAATAACTATTCAACACTTTGAAATATTTGTTTACAAATAAAGTGAATACAATGAAATCTCAAAATACGAAGAGAAATAAATATATCTTTATCTATTTTTGAGAATGATAAAAATAATTTAATCAAAGTTGTGATTTTAACATTTTTAGAAGCAAAGAAATATGAATACATACAATTGGTGTGGATTAAGAAATAAGAATACTCACTTTAATATGTCTATCGACTGGACTTATATGAACATTCTCCAATCTCAACTCTGTATGGGCAAGTCCATGACTATGTAAGTAGTTTACCTGAGTGAGGTACAACAAAATCAAAATCAAAATTAAAATCAACATGAACATGAAGGCAAATGTCAATAACTACTACCTACGTCTCATATTTATTTATTGTCTGCTTTTGAATTTTGAAGTCTCTATTCTTCAACTTTGACCTTAAATATTTTTGTTTTTGATATATAATACTTGATGCAAAATATATGAATGGATTGTGTTTTAAATGTCTTTTCATCGTTATAAATTTCATCAAATGATTTATAACACAAATAAAAATATTTAAGGTCAAAGTTGAAGAATAAAGACTTCAAAAGTCAAAAGCAGACAATAAATATGGGACATAGAGTATTTAACTATTTATTAAGCAACGTACTCCAATGAGTAGATCTCTCATAAGAATTCGAGTAACACGTAGCTGACGAGAGACCGCAGGGCCGCCTACGGTATCATCACCCGCCCTTCTCACCGCAGATTCTTCGTCTAAAGCAAGCGTAGCTTCTAATGTTGGGAGCCAGTCTGTCTGTCGAAGCCAGTGCCTCAAAGACAAACCACCATGATACTGCATGCATCATGTTCATGTTCAATTATATTATATACGTAAAATTATAAATAATCACTTTTGTATTTAAGAAAATAAAAAAAGTTAATTTTTAACTAAAATCATAAAAAAGAATTATATTGCAAATTTTCATTTTATTTTACGGTGGAATGAAAATTGAGAAAATGGAAGGAAGCAATTAAAGTCATTTAATAAAAAAGTTAATAGGACCTACCCCATGAACAAGTGTAAAAGAGCCCTCATCCTCCGTTGTTGTTTCTGGGGAGAAGACGTAACCATGTACTTGCATTGAATATGAATGGTACATCATTTTACGGCGACAAAGCTTCTTTAACACCTACACTCCATATTCCAAATCCAAACAATGATACATACATACATACATACATACATACATACATGATGATGATGATGATGATGCGATAAATATTATGAATTTGATAATGAATATAACTAGTAAGCAGACACCTGCATAGCGCGTTTCCCTCTTCGTTGTGCTTGAGCACTAGTGAGTCGCCGAAGCACCACTCTCGTATTATGCAATGGGCTGCATTTTTCATAACGTTATGAGGAGTTATGAGTAACTTAAGCTATTGGGGTTGGGGTGTTATGTAATAGCTACCTATCAGTGTCATTGATTATCGCTTCAAATACAACCTCATCTCCCTACAATCAATCACCACAAATATCACGTCCAATCCAACAGACACATAGACAGATAGATAGATAGAATTAATATATTTGCATACCCGTCCACCCAAGCCAATGCTAACGCGATCACTGATCTTAAAATCAGAAAATTTAAACTTGATAACATGGCTAAATTCTTCTCCTTCCAAAGAATCCGAATCTTCGAATTCAAGTGGAGATAGGGCCTCTTTCTCTCTCGAAAGTGAACACCTAATTTTGATTTGTGATTTTTGTTTGTAAAACAAATCAAAACTAGTCCACATTCGAGGCAAGCAACTTGGTCTTATCAGTGTTGATGGAAAATTATTAGTGTAGCATTTGCTTGTTTCCTTAAGGCCACTTAAATAATGCCCTCCTAGTAAAGCCATTTGATTCTGAACAACACTGCACTCACTGCAACAAAAGTGATTATCGACTTATACATGTAAAATGACCAAAAAGGACATTCTTACAGATTTAGAAATCTAAACTTTTAATTTTACCAATTGTACTTTGGAAATCTAAACTTAAATGTTTTTTGTATACTTTTTTTTCTATTTAGACACGGTATTTTAAAGATGAAAACTTTTTTAGCATTATACTTTCAAAAGAAACCTATCAGGAGTTCAGGACAATGCAGTTACTAATAATATAACTCTGTCAAACTTTTGGATCTACTCATGTATCTAATTAAAAAAAAAAAAAATGAATATTTATCTTACTGGATCAGACATATGGATGATTAAGAGGTTTATTAAGTGATTTTTAAAACAAAAGCCCAAACTATATCAACAAAATCAGATTAGTGCTTACTGTTAACAACTTAACATGTAACCAGATAATCACCAAACTAAATAAACAAAATCAGATTGTAACACCAAATCAGATTATAAGCTTCATTGATTCAAAAAAATTCATGTGCTTAAAATTTAACTGCTTTATTGGCTAAAAAAAATCATCAGCTTATATCGAGGTGTACAGAACCAGAAAAAGAAAGTGGGATTCCGAACCAGAAATTACTCAAGTTAGGAACAAGAATTAAGCTCTAGATACAAAATCGAACAAGAAAGTTATATGCTTCATCAATTCCAGAAATCAAACGTCATGTATCAATCCAGGAGGTGTAACCGGATAAAAAAAAGTCGGACTTACCATATAAAGGAGCAGTAGCCGGCGCCGGCGATAGGAAGTCTGGAACGGAGATCGAAGAAGGGTCGCAGCTCTTCTCTCTGATGAACGTTGTGAAGGAGCGTGTATGGGGAAGGAGCCTAACAACGTGAACAGGGTATTCCTATTACGGAAAATGGGAACAAGAAGACTTGCCTAATCGAATTCGCATGAACAATTACTTAGGGATGAAATTGATTTAGGGATTTGTTAGTTAACATGGAGCGGTGATATAGATTAACAGAGAGTGTGATGGTTGCGTGTAATAGATTCTCAACGTGCGTCTTTCTCATGCCTACATCCGGCCGGCCGGTCTATTACTGCTGAACGCGCGTGCCAAGGGACCGACCACATCAGTTTGACGGGGTTAACAGTTTTAGCCATGTTTTAGAGACAAGGTTTTTTTCTTTTGTTTTTTTGTTTTTTTTTTTTTTTGAAATTCACTATCATGTCATTTTATTTGGTTTATGTCCATTTTACACATTTAGCTAACGAATTGGTGTAAATGTTTATATAGATGACAATTATGACAAGACGTAACAAATTAGTGACGGTTATAATTGTCATATTTAAGCACTTTTAACAAATTTGTTAGATAATATCATTTTATTTGGTTCATGTCCACGTAATTTTGTTTTTTTACACATTTAATTATGACAAGATGTAACAACTTAGTGACGGTTATAATGATCATATTTAAACACTTTTAACAAATTTGTTAGATATATACAAAAAAACAAAGTTACCAAAATATGAAGAAAACAAAAAGATAATTACTCTGAAAATTCAATTTGTCTTCTTTTTTATTTTACCTCTTAAATTTAACTTAAATAGTAAACATTTTTAAAATCATACCATTTTGGTAAATATCTTTTTTTAAATACTCTACTTTGGTAATTAAAAAATTTATAGATCTGTCACACCTCTGGCCGATAGCGGAAACATCGGGCGGTATGAACGTGGGGAAATTGGACCGAGACATATATATATATATATATATATATATATATATATATATATATATATATATATATTATATATATATATATATATATATATATCATAACATAAGGTTTATCTCAAACATGTTTTATTTATTATAAATTATTCCGGGGTTATATTACTTTTTAAAAGACAAACACATTTCCTAAACAGAACTAAGACAATAAACAAACAATGCTTAAACTCCAGCAGCTTCCTTCTAGACTTCCTCCTTCTTGATACGACTATCATCCTCCTCCTTGACACGACTATTCTCTTTCTCACTCATCTTCCTGAGAATACATGTATTTTTGAAAACGTCAATATAACATAATGTTGGTGAGTACATGAGTTTTTAGAGTTTTCGGCTTTTATTTGGTTATATTAGTTTAAGAATCATTTTTCTTTCAGAAAAACATTTCCTAAAGTATTCTATCAACCCTAGCTTACTATCTTTTAGGATTTGTAACGATCCTATCTTATTTTCTTGTAGGATATCCAACAATCCAATCTTCTTATCTTATTAGGATATATTTTATAAATCCTAATTTATTATCTTTCTAGGATATCTAACGATCTGTAACGGCCCAAAAATCAGAGTAAAATTTTTCATTTTAAAAACACAATCCACAAGCCCAAAAGTTACCAAAACATTATTTACAAATCATAATAAGTCAAAACATCAAATCAAGTATCGATAACATAAATTGTGGGATGATGTGTATAATCACGTCTTCGCCTTTCCCCGCTCATCAGAAGTGCCTAAAACACTAAAATCCATATTGTAAGTCAAAGCTTAGTGAGCTTCCTAAAATACCCCACACCACAAACAAATAAAAATACAATACAAGCATGCATACAAGGTTTGTTGGTCCTTGACCTCAACCCAACCATACCGGGTTTGTTGGTTTACATCATAGAGCAGTAAAACCTCAACCCAACCGTACAGGGTTTATTGGCACGTGGCCTCAACCCAACAATCCAGGTTTGTTGGCACGTGACCTCAACCTAACCTTATTGGATTTGTTGACATCCAGTCTCATCCCAGCCATATCGGGTTTGTTGGCACGTGGCCTCAACCCAACCACACATATGTTGATATATACACAAATAAATAACACGTAAAACTATCATAGCAGTCCTACAACTTAGGATACATAAACTCAATAAATGGGTCGACCTGGTGCCTTAGACCCATTGGCATAGTGGGAGAACTCACTTTACAAACCGAACACAAGTTGAAATAAGTCTCGACCCTAAATATCGGCTCTACCAGTCACCTATTATGCAATTGATAGTACAACCTTAATTAATACTAAATTATCCAAAATACCCTTATGTCAACATTGGTCAAACTCAATAAATCAGTTGAGTCAACCCAATTAAGTCAACTCAGCCGAGTTGACTCACTCCAGTACGTGCGGCATTCTTGGTTGCGACCAAAACAGACGGGGGCCTGACCGCGTACACACAATGTACCTCCTGGTACACCTAGCATACGCAGTTGAATGTTCTTAACTCATTAAGGGCTTAATATATAAGCCTTTTTCGACCAAACTACATATCCAGGTCTTAAATGTTGTCCTTGACCATAAAGTTTCCAACTTTATGGTCTGGCATAGCCCTAATGTGCTTAACACTAAAAATCCCAACATCTTAAGCCATTAAGACAACCAAACTCTTGTATGGGGGAGAACTAAGGGTCAAGAACACATTTTTATCATTATAAGCCTAGAAAAACATCCAAAAGGACAGGCCGGTTGCTCTATAGTATGGCGTACACAAGAAGGCCATATTTGGGGACAAAAGTTCATATTATCAACATACAACAAGATTTATCAACTTAATCACCAAGGTATAAACTTTATACATTCTGGAGGTTAAGGATAATACAAGACTTCCTGATCCAAGCTTGCTTCAAGCTTCCAAGCTTCACCACCACCTTCTTCTCCATTTGAAACAAACAAAACACACTCTCAAGCTTCAAAATGCAGCAATGGGGCTAGGGTTTGTAAGGGGAAATGTTTCAAGTGATGGAGGCTGGAAATAGGACTTAAAGTGCAATATATATGAACCAAATCATAAAGATTAGGGTTTGAGTCTTGGTGGAGTACACCATACGTACTCAGAGTACGCCCAATGTACTCGGAGTATGCCCAACGTACTCCATCAAATGATGGTGTTCTGCTAAATCCCCCTTACGCCCAGCATACCATCCAGGTACGCCCCCCGTAAGGCCAAAGTTGCCAAAAGTCGCAAATTAAAGGGTTGGAAGGAAATTTAACAGGATTTGAGTGTAACAATTCTCCTCCACTTGGATTAGACTTCGTCCTCGAAGTTTGTAACGCCCGTTTGTAATGCCCGAGTTTTGGGGCTAAGCATTTTTGACAATGTAATAGTCTAGATTAAATATGGTAACTCTTTTTGAAGTAATAAAGATGAAATATTTGAGTATTATGTGAATTACGTGTATTTATGTTCTTATTATTTAATTATAAACGTATAATTAATAAGAGTAAATTACTGAAATCGTCCATGTGGTTTGGTCAAAATTGCACGTTTGGTCCTAACTTTTTTTTTTGCACTCGGATCGTCCCTATGGTTTGATTTTGTTGTGTTTTTCGTCCTTATGGTTTGATTTTGTTGCATTTTTCGTCCCTTACATATATAAAGTTAGGGACCAAACATGCAATTTTTACCAAACCATAGGGACGAAAAACGCAACAAAATCAAACCACAGGGACGATCCAAGTGCAAAAAAAAAGTTAGGGACCAAACGTGCAATTTTGACTAAACCACAGGGACGATTTCAGTAATTTACTCAATTAATAAAGAATAAAAATAAGCTTCAAAATTAAAGTGTGAGATAAGCCCGATATCTCCACATAAAGTTGTAGTAGTCGAAACAAGGATTTCAGGGATATAAAGAACACCGAAATCCGAGTTATAATGAAGTTATGACCCGTCGAAGTTTTATGAGGAACCGACGCGACACCGGGAAGCGTAAATAGTGAACTTACGATAGAGCGACTTTTAGCCTTAGAAATCTAAACGAAAGTCGTAGAATATGTTAAACTGAGAGTGTCCATAAAAAGAACGCCAAAATTTGACTTCGTATGAAGAAGTTATGAGATTTTAACGGACCAATTATATCCCGGTCTGTTAAAAATATAACTTTAAAAATAAAGTCAAAATTAGCTGACGGAGTCTAAACGAAAGTTGTAGAGTACGTCTCCACCTATGCGTGGATATAAAGAACGTCAAAAACGGAGTTCGTATGAATGAGTTACAAATTATAATAGCATATTTACGTATTAAAATAAAGTATAAATCATATATACGTACACATATATATACATATGTATATATCATTAGAAAGGTATCGACGATGCGGTCATTATAAGACTAATGTTGAGTTATTTCGACATTAGTTTAGTACAAATATCATTAAATCCATTTAAAATAGTATTATAGAGGGGTGTGTAGTTGTTTATATAACTAAAAGGTCATTAAGTAATTATGGAGGGTAGTTTTTGAAAATTCAATTAGTATAAATAAGAGCATTGGGCTCTCATATTTCTTGCATCATTCTCTTGATTCAAGAGTCTTTCTCTCCTTATCCCCCGAGCATTTCGGTCCCTCGTGATTCGACTTCTCTTTCTGTAGTTTTTAGTATAGTAAGGTGAGAGCTGAAGCGCTGCACGAATCTTTCTTAGAAAGATTCAACGACGAAGTTATGCCCCTGCGGAGCCCGACTCATAGCTAAAATCTCCTTATAAGTAAGTTATGCTTACCCTATTTTCATATAGCTTATATTTAAAACTAATATTGTTATTATGAACTTATAATAAATATTTGAGATATTATTATGACTTATATAAGTGTCGTTATAATATCTTTTTAACTACTCGCGGTACGGGGAATCTGGTTTAAAGGGTTGCATAGGGTTGTTGGATTTCAGAAGTGCTATACGCCAAAATGGTCCTGCCCTCCGGTGTTTTATGTTTGGCCCCTGTCTGTACATAGTGGTTGGAAAGTATTTTTTAAACGCTTATATAATAATAATAACAATAAAACTAATAGTTAGTCACGGTAAATATTAGACTAAAATCTAGTGGTAATAATACTAGGTTTCGTCGAAGGAAATTATTTTAAAGTAAACGAAGCGTTGTCCGAGTACCGAATCACCACCTTTTCAAGTGAGTGCATAGTTACTTTCATCTTACACATAGATATGAAGTATTTTATATATTACGTGTTATGTGTGCATATTATCTGTATACTTGCTATCTATGCTGAATGAATGTTTTTATACAAGTTTTAAATGATTTAAACTGTATATGTATTTTATATCTACAAAAATATTGGGGTAAAACATGGGTAGATGTAATAAAACGATGTGTGATAAAATGATGAAAGACCTCGATGTTGTTCTTGTTGATCCAGTCATCTAGCGGAGTATAGAGGACGACCACAGACTCTTCTAGACAGTCCAGTGGAACGCTGGCAGGCTCGCAACCTGTAGGTGTTTGTGAACGATGTGTTCACCGGTGTACTCCATCCCCCTCATGGTTGCCTTTAGGACATTTATTGCTAAGGAACCCCCTTAGCAGTAGTGTCCATCCCGATGATGATCCTTAGGATAGGTCCCTTATGATAGGTGTTTAGGGACGTAATGTGAGGATAACAGGAACGGGTAATTGGGTTATTGTTGGTCGATGAAATTAATAAACTTATTTATTGTGGGTTGAAAACCCTATGTGCTCACTAGGCTCCCAAGCCTGACCCACTCAGTTTTATGTATTACAGGTAGTTGCGCTCGAGCATAGTTGTGATGTGTTGGGATGAAGGATTACAGATATAGGCCTGTAGATATGAAATAATGTAGTAAGGCTTATATTGTATTGTTTATACTTATGTATTGTATCGAACATGACATCCCGAGTCTTTTAATGAAATACATTTCTAAGGAAATGCTTTTGATAACTCTTTATCATATTATTGTTTTGGGACAAATTCCGCAACTCTTTTATTAAAAGGTTACTCTGATTCTGAAATAAAGTATAAACAAAACCGGTCTTTTATGGCCGTGATTTTGGGGATGTCACAAAGTCTGCTGAAGTTAACAACTCCATTTAATGCTCCAGCATCTCTGTGAAACATTCCCAAAATACGGTTCGAAAATTTCGTTTTAAATCATTAATAAAAACCATAATTATCAAACATTTCATTCATAAACAAAAATCGTTATATCAAATCACAATATTATCTCAAAACATGTTCTTTTTATTAGAGTAAACATCTCAGGCTAAAACTTCTTAGTGTGTGACATGTAGTCATCTCGAGCTCTTCCCTCTGCTACTGGAAGTACTTGAAACCAAAACTGAAAACTATAAGCACGAACCTTAGTGAGTTCCCCAATCTACCACATACCATACACATAACACATACTGCAAACACTGGGCCTAGCCCGCTACATCGAGCCCCGCCCGGCATCAGACGAATCCGACATCAAGCCCAGCCTAGCATCGAACCCCGCTCGGTATATAGATCTGCTTCTACTAGGCCCCGCCTGTCTTTGGGCCCCGCTCGCTTTACACATACAAACAATAACATATAATCATGCTAATACATAACAAACAATCGTTATACTATAACTACTAGTCTCAAGGCCCCGCTATCAAGGGCCCCGCCCTTACTCTGCTACTAATGAGATATGGAACCCCGTCCACACTTAGCTAGTGATGAGATACGGGCCCCCGCCCACACTTATCTCCCTACCAGGCACATACAAGTATCACAAAAAACAACAAGTATAACTAAACATACACTATTGCTCAGGTACCACCCAACATCGAACTGTCGCTCGGAACCTACATATAATCCTTCTTCGGGCCTCGCCCGACATCGGACCGAAATCTAGAGCATATAAACTGCATCAGGCTAACCCTAACATCAGATCTAAATCCGGTATACACTAACATACATAAATGGTGCAAGCATACAATTCAAAGTTTATTCGTTTCTTTTGCCTTAACAGGGAAAGCAATATCTTTGGGCCCCTAAGTAATTTGGTGTTGACTTATATTGCCGGGCCCGACTAGGACTAAATGGATGTGTTATGTCATTACAAATCAAAAATCGGGAAACAAAGTATTAGACAATGGGATTGATTTTATTCCATGTATCATGTTCGAATGATATCTTGCAGAATAGAGTATTATATGATCACTTATCTTAGGACACGTAACTGACTGGGTCAGAGTTCGACAACGACTTTTAGAAGCTACAATTTGATGATTGATTCAGAAGTGTACTTAAAATTACCATTATAGACTTATCCAAGTGGGAGACTGTTGGATTAGGTATCTAAGCCATAAATAAAATTGGTATATACTTGAATTGATAGTAGCACAGTCCTTTTGGGTTGCCCTCAAACCTAGCAATTGGACATGATGATATTAGAGAGATAGATTAATTTATTATGTGAATAATAAATTAAATAAATAGTTTATTAATATGTTATGAGAATAAAATATTAATTATGAATCATATTATTTAATTAATAATTAATTTGAAATTAACTGTAATTAATTTCGGGATTAATTGGAAGACTCAACTATTATGTCTTAATAGTTGAGAAAGGAAGGCTGTAGAACCTCTAGGAAGAGGTGGACTAAAATCTCTAGGGAAACCATATGAGATTTCGTCTAAGGCCCCTTGGACAAGGGGTTTTGGGCTACTAAAGGATCTAGAGCATATCTCTTTAAACCTTAGCTTTGACACGTTTTCTTAACTATATAAGGAGCCTCCTAGTCCTTAAGTTCATCCCATGCCTTCCCTCCACAAGCCTCAAACCAAATTCCATCATCTCTCCTAATTCATTCTCTTGCTAGTTTGAGTGTGATTCCATTAGAGACACAATACTTGTGGTGCTTGCTTCCAAGAGATCTTCAAGAGGAATTCTAGTTGTTTACTATAGCAACTAAAATGTATGTAATCTTAAAACCTTCTAATGTTAATTTCAAAAATTACCAATGGTTTGCAAGTTTCTTTTTGATGTTTTTAGTTGTAAGTTCAATAGAAAAAACTTAGATCTTGTTTTAGGTTGCATACACACTTAAGAGTTTTTGACTTTGTTTGTTATGCGTAAAACCCATCAATAACAACATGAATGTTTGTTTTGATATCTTCAACTGTAAAATATATACATGTAAATTGGAAACCGGAACAAATATACTGGAAATTTTATAATTTTTTGTTATTTGTATGATGATGCGGTTTATTTTGAATGATGCATTTTGTTTGATAATGTGTAAATATTTAATGATGCAAAACATCTTAAGGAGCAAATTGATATTTATTGGTGTGACATATTATTGATGCGAGTGAGATTTAATTGGTGCAGTATCTGGACATTCCATGAGTCCGTTAATTGGTAGAGTGATTTTACTTTTCCGCTCAAAGAAACCACATCATTAAATGATGATATTTAATAATGTATGGACGTAAACTAGCATCAATTAATCATTTTAACCGTATCAACAAATATGTTCTTTATTAATGTTAAAAAAAACTAAATAATCATGCTTAACGTGCAAATATTTATTTATGTTTTTTATAACTACGGAAATTGCATTAAACAACTAGCAAGCTTACAACCATAAATAGGAAAACATCAAACTTTCCAATTAAGAGAATTGAGATTGACTCATGCTTGAACCGCTTGCATGTAATAAGTTGAATCTATCATGAGTTGTCTTCAAATAGGAGCTGATCCTTATCTTTTTTGAAAACAACTACATTCGTTTATGTATATATGTATACTAGTAGTAAGTACTAAGAACACATATTGAAGCATAAGATCATACTCACCATGGTTAAAAGAGGAAAAAGCTATAGGGTAACTACAGAAGAGATAAATCACAGTTGAGAGATAGACGATGGTGATATGAAGATCTATGGTTGAATCCAACACCTAGGTAAACACATCTCATTCCATTGTCGTTGGATATCAAACTAAAGAGGTGCAGAGGAATTGTAAGATTGAAAGTTGTATGTTTTATTGAACAATTGTGGTGGTTTTATACAGAGGATACAATAATCGGAAAGAAGCAATAAATGGCTAAACATATGCAATATTACAACAATTAACCAAATATAAAATTATACCTTAAATGAATTTTGAATATAGGTTTGACTTTCCTTTTGCTTGAGATATCATTGAGTCGTAATACAAACTTCTCTCCATTAATACGAAAATGAAGATCGAGAGAAAGACATAGAAAGAAAGATCTGAAAAAAGGATAGAAAAAAAAAAGAAGAAAACACTAAACCTATCGAGTGACAAACCCAGAAAAATAAAGCCCCAAATCCGATTTCTATTGTAATCAACTTTGGATCTTCAAAATTCGAAAGAATCTAAGAGTATCTTCAAAATTATTTTTACAGAATAATTATTCAGAAAGGAATTAAAAAAGTTAAAGAGACCAATATAGGTTTTATTTGTTATGCAATTATCAACATCAAGCCCCAGCTTGAAAATAGCATGAAGTGATAAAAAAACAAAAACTACCATTTTGATTTGCTTAGACCTTTTTCTTTCTTTCTTCAGTGACAGGTTGGTGTATTTTTTGGTCAGTGAGTGTGTCATGGTGGAGGCAGGCGACGGTGAGGGAAGCATCAGGTCAGCAGTTCGATAGAAGTGGTAAACGGTGGAGACGACAAATAGTAGATCACCGATTAGGGTTCCGTGTGAAAGACTAAGGCGGAGAAAGAGGGTTCCTTTTGGAGTGAGCGTGATAGGGTTTCGAGAGGTGACAAACGGAGGAGAGAAAGCTTTGTATTTTCCCTCTTATAAATGATTTAACTTCAAATATGATAGATGTGGTGACGGGTCCGAGATATAAGGGAAGGGGGCGAGAAATAAGTGGAATTTGAATGAGTCTAGTGAATAGATTAGGAAAGATAATGAGGCACGGGAAAGTGATCTATAGTGCATTGTTTTATTATACTTTTAGCTTATAAACTTGGACAATTTAAAATTTAATATTATTTTATTAAAGTTCGGTTGTACTTTAAGCTTAAATATTTGGACGTACTAAATTTATTTTTAGAAATAATAACATTTGTATAATAATATAGTAAGATTTGCTTATCAGTATTTTTTTGAATTAGTTCAACCTAATTAGATCAAACGCCAAGATCATAGAGAAAAAAGAAAGTCTTTTGCGTCTATATAAAAGAGAGCTATGCGACTGCTTCAAAAACTTTTCATCGAGATCCCAGTTCCACGTTTTCGGCGACTTTATCGGTAGATTCACGTATCTAGTTGGTTCATGTGGCCAACATCTAAACCTTACAAGGCAAGATTGTGGGTCATGGCTTTTTAAGTTCCCCATACTCACGTATATACGGATATTAGTTAAATAATAAACTAAATTGTATTAATACGTGTAATCGCTCTCTAGCATTCATTTCTTCGATAAGGCCAACATACCCTGAACGAATGGCTAAATATACAATTAACTATTCCAAATTATATATCGGTATAAGTTAATTATAACATACAAAATAAAATTAAAAGTCGGTTAGCAAAAATGCATTTGCATGCTTCACATATCTATATATAGATATGTTATATTCCGATTCAGAAACCACATATATATGAGATTATAGAAACACTCAAAAAAATGCATTTGCTTATACAACTAACTGTTATGGTGGTAGCCTTCATCTCTCATGAACATAAAGTCGTAGCACAATATGTACAACCTTACACTTCCATAGTTGTTCCAGTAATCAAACATACCGATGCTGCTAAGCCTCTCTATAGCGTTCAGATCATGACATCATTTGCAAACTCACAATACATGAAAGCAAACTTCCTTATAGACATCGACGCTCCACTCATATGGCACGATTGCATCCTCAAGTGGAACATTTCCCCTGGTAGTTGCCCCAGTAATACGCTTTGCACATCTCCTGTTTCTTGTGAAGAAGATTATTGCACAGATGTCCGAACTACTTACTCATACGACAATCCTTCCTGCCCTCCGGTGACCAACAGTTCGACGTTACCTGGTTGGGGATACTGTACTTGTCCGGTCAACGTGGTGGACCCGGTTACCGGAGCTTGTGTCCAAGCCCTGCTCAACTATGATGATTTCACTGTTAACACAAGTAATGGTAGCAATGTTTTCTCTGGTTTATATGGTCCTTCCCCTAACGCTGCATGTGCTCCTACTTCATCGTTTGAATCATTCCCAGTAAATGTTAATGGCGTCATGGCATTTTCGTCTTCACCTTATGCGTTACCCGCTTATTTATACCAACCACTTAAGAAAATTTTAGCTTTATGTTTGCCTAGCAACTCGTCTGCTCCTGGGGTTTTATTCTTTGGAATTGGTCCCTATTCCCTACTTCCCCACTCGGATGTCGACTTAAGGAGTTTACTTTCTTATACTCCTTTACTAAAACAGCGAGATTCTTTTGGATATTTTATCGATGTCAAATCCATTGTAATTAAGCATGTATCTATCGACATTCCTGAGCATGCAACTAGTAAGTTTAGCACAACCGAGGCATACACCACTCTTAGAACTGACATCTATAATCGTGTGATTCAGACATTTTCGATGGCCACAATAGGAATCCCTCATGCAAAGCCAGTCGCACCATTCACGCTCTGTTTTAGGACCTTCGACATGGGCACGAGAGTGGGATTAAAGTTTCCTGACATGGATTTCAGTCTCCCGGATGGGAAGAAGTGGACTATATCCCCGACTAACTCAATGAAACAAGTAACGAAAGATGTGGTGTGTCTGGCGATTGTAGACGGAGGTGTTGCAACTGAACATTCAATTGTGATTGGGACTTTTCAGTTCGAGGATAACTTTATAGTATTTGATTTAGAGAACTCGGCTTTTGGGTTTAGCTCATCACTTTTGGGTGAGCAGACTTCATGTGCCAATTTCAACTTCACGATCACATGAGGTATCACTTGAAGCTGTTTCTATAAAGGGCGTATGCATTCATCAATAGTCTTTTTTTTTTTTCCCCAATAAACTGCTTCTTTTTCAACGTTTGCCATGTAAAAAGCATAACCCGATCCATAAAAAAAAATGTGATACATTACTTTTTAAGAATAAAGAAGAGATCCATCTATATAGCGCGCGTGATGATAATTACTAAAGATTTCTTGCTCTTTTCCTACAAATATTAATCCAAAAAGAGAAAGAACTTGAAGCTCATATGCAATGTAAACCGTTGGGTAAAATAATCTTGAACATCAATTTGAGCATCTTTGGAATTAAAAGAAGGGGCTAACTAGACTCTCACTTTCATAAAAAGAGAAAACTGGACTTGCACTTTAAGAAATGGAATTGCCATGAGACAGAAGTTGGAATCTCGCCTAACCACTCGGTGTATGTTGTCCAACCCAACCTCAGACTCTTTCCTGTTCACCTATTTGACTATGTGGCCACAATTATAGTTATTTAATGAAGAGATCGAATTTCTCCGGGGAACACACGAAACAAAAATGAGTTTATTTATTTATTTATTTATTATTAATAACTAGGTTACAACTCCTGGAAATGATAAAAAAAATATATTTAAATGAATAAATTATTAATAACATTTATGATTTTATAAGACTTTTTTTATTATTTAAAATGAATATTAATATTTGTTTGAATATCCATATATATGTAAAATGTGAAGAAATTTTATTTAGTTAAGAATTAAAAAATAAAATATATGTTCAAATATAGTGTAAAGAAAAAAACTATGACTCATGAAGTTGACATTGATACATGAAAAATTAAATATAACATATACGTAGTAAAAATAATAAAACACAAAACAATAAATTACAAATTAAAAAATACAAAAGGTTTATAAATTTCTAAAAATTGCTTATGATATCTCCAATCCATCACCAAACTCTATTTCGTCCCTCATTTTTTTTCCAACCCTACCTCATTTTCACCGCTATTTTTGGAGATATGAATAGTATTCCTCCATATATGGGGGAATACTATTCATATCTCCAAAAATAGAGGTGAAGTTTGGTTGTCAATTTTAATCTCTCTCATTTTTATTTTATATATTTCTAGTTTATTTTATCTATTAATTTTAATTTAAATGCAATAATTAATAATTATAATTTGATGTTATATACGAATTTAAATTAATTGAGCATAAATATAGAGTTAATTAGTAGAGGAGTGTATTTGACAATATATATAAGTTATAAAAATAAAATATTCTAGGAATATACTTTTTGGGATAAAAAATAGGATAAAAAATAGAGTAAAATTAGAGATGAAATACTATTTACTCTATTTATAAAGAAAAAAAATGAAGATGGGTTAGAGATGATCTTATACACCATATTTGAAGTTTTAATGAGTGTTATTTTATTTTTGTTGCATTTAAAAAGTCTATTAAATATTTCAAATATTGTATTTGAATTGATTGGAGGGATGGAAAAACTGATTGAAATCTATCAAAATCCCTTGGATATATATTCAAAAAACCTATTTTTCAACAGATAAACACGAAAATGTATTATATAATTGAAAAAACTACATGTCAAAACGAAATTACAGTATAAATCTTTAGGAAAGTCGAAACACTCATTCACAGATGTTCTTTCATGCAAAAAAAAAAATTTCTTTAGTTTTGATTAAAATCTATCAAGATCCCTTGGATATACACTCGCTCGAATTTTTGTACCTTATTTAAATAGGACAAAAACATTTAGTTAAAAAAATAAAACTTTCAATTACAATTTTGTTTGGCTGTCAAACCAACAAATAATGGGATAAAATAATAACAATAAAATTCAAGTCACTGTTACTTCATACACTAGAGATAGTATAAAGTAAACAGGGTCGGTCCACGGGAATACATGACTTCTTATTTAGCCATATTCTCACACATCATACAAACAATATTAAAATGGGGGATTGTGTTTGAACTAGAATTAAAATTCATAAAGAAGTAAGATTGAAAACTAAATTAAGTAAAAGAAATACATTTCTGATTCCGATTCCTACATATGTATAATGTTAAAAGATGTAATATAATTATGACTCATGTTGTATATAGGTTGGTAATTTAGATATTAATAAACTCTAATATCTAAGTTGACAAAAATGTTTTATTCAAAACATGCTCTTTAAATAAAAATTCCTTTAATTGATTCAATTCAAATAAGTTCTTGGATCAAATTATTGAAGGACATTGAGTTCATGCAACAATTACAACAATGTTCAACATTCCTCTTAAGCTTGGGATTATGAATATTTAACCTTTGATTACACTTATTTTGATTTAAATTCAACCAATCAAGTGTATGTTACTAACATCAAATCATAAAACATATACGAATTTCATAATTTGATTAACTAGATTGAATGGAACCCTAGTTCATTAATCAAGTGAAAAAGAGAATCCATCAAACACATAATTAGGATCAAATCAAAGATTACTAGATATTAAACATAAGTCAAATGTAAATTACAACCTAATAACACATACTTAAGAATTCAGAATTAGAAATGAAATAGAAATCAGCCACACATGTCTAAGTTAAACTACACTTCAACAAGTTTAATCCTCAATTCAACTTACAAAGTGCAAATTAAAGTGTTTCTAAATGTTAATCCACTTCCAAAATCTCCCAAAATCGCCTTTTTCTCTCCGAAAATGCGACTTAACTTCCCCCTACAACCGGCTGTCTTTTTTTACCAATGATAAAACTGTTTTAAAACCGGTGACACATTTACACGGCTTGTGTAAACTAACACTGACCATTTACACGGCCGTGTAAACTCCAAAACTAAAATGCTCAAAACTGCTAGGCCTTCGAAGTACATTGCTCACGAGTATGCATTTACATTGCCCGTGTAAACTACATGCTTACGTTTACACGGCCGTGTAAATCTCTGTAAAGTTAAAATCTTCATTTTCTTCTTAACTTCCTCCTCGATGCTCCACTAGTCCCGAAACTTCATCCGCATCTTTTATTCATCATCTCAACTAATATTCTTCCTTCAAAAGTCCCTGAAATATCATAAAAGTGTGTGAATGGAATTGCATCATGAAAAATCTCGAAAACATGCAAAATGCATGGGTTTAAACCTAAATGCAATGTACTTTAATGGATTATAACTACAAATTGAATGCGTGAAATGCATGTAACAAATTTAAAATACAATTTCTCGTATTTATTGTCTAATTTTGATTTTTGAAGTCTTTATTTTTCAACTTTGACCTTAATTATTTTTATTTGTTTTATAAATTACTTTGATAAAACATATAACAATGAAAAAAATATTTAAAACACAATCTATTCATAGATTTTGCATCAAGTATTATATATCAAAAATAAAAATATTTATGATCAAAATTGAAGAATAAAGACTTCAAAACTCAAAAGTGGACAATAAATATAAGACAAATGTAGTATAATAAAAGTGGATTTTACCATCTAATATATCAGGTCATCTCTAGTGATTTTACTATATTTGGGTTTATATCTAAGACTGATTGCCACAAACGAATAATACAGACTTTTAACGTGTAATCATCTTTCATATTATCCAATTAGTTTATGAAAATTATGTTCTGGGCAGACATTGTCACTATAGAAAAAGGAGCAAAACATAGATACATTCATGTGGATTCTACTTTATGTTTATTTGGAAAATGTTTTGCTGGACAACAAAATATTCTTGAAAAAAACATAGATACATTAATGTAACTTAATCAATTTTTTTTTGTTATTGATTGAGAAATAAAGCAAAAGGGATTATATAGAAATGTTTTAAGTAAGAAGTACATGCACTTGGTAGACATATCCGGTCGATGACAATTTTGGAGAAGCTTTGTTCTTGTTTTCTGCAAAGGAAGAATGACAAATGTTCATGTAAATCGATAGTCAAAACGTTTTCAATCTTATATAGAAGTGAATTAAGATGAAAAGTAGGAAGTAAATCAACCGAAATGTAATTTGAATTTAAAAAAATAAGGTATCATAGATTATCACATTCTGATTTTCAGGGAGTTGATCGGAGTGAGTAAGACCAGAGGGCGTGAGTAGGAAACTTCCCTCACTTTTTGTGGGCCACAACACATTTTCCCTCACTTTCCTTTCTTTCACCTAAACCCAAGAAATGGATGGAAAACTTCCTCACTATATATATATATATATATATATATATATATATATATATATATATATATATATATATATAAAATAGGTTACAACCTGTGGGAATCACGGGTAAAAAATTTATAAAATATTTATATTATTAATAAGAGTTAAGTTTGTTTAAATTTTTTTGTATTGATTATATAAAATTAATATATATTTATAAAACATAATACTCTCTCCGTCCCAATATAATTGTTCCAAGACAAAAAAATACACAGATTAAGAAAAACATTAATTACCACTAACTTTATTTAATAAAATGACAGTTTTGTTCATACTTTGCATTTGAGTATATTGAATATATTGAATATTGAATATGAGCATAATTTTAAATTTAAAAAAATAATGGGCAAAACTAATAAAACTTATAAACCAATATTTATTCACAATTAATTCTCAAATTAATTCTCAGTTAATTCCTTAAATTATGGAGTTAGTGAGTAATTTTAGATTAAAATAATGATTCCAAAAAATGTCCGTAGAAGGATACCAATTCATACCAAATATATGTATATCTATTTTTATATCATTTAAAGTTGCAGGAATTTAAAAGCCAGGAACTTTTGTATTCTAAAGGAATGGCATAAGAGTAAAATCACAATGGTAGAATTCTGTAATGTTATAGTGACACGTGGATTAAGGGTTTCTTTTATTAAGAAGGAAGATATATATATATATATATATATATATATATATATATATATATATATATATATATATATATATATCCTACAAGTATTATACTTATTTTGTAGTTAATATAAAACC